TAATTTTCAATGTATCTTGATTGCATATTTGAGAAATTTCAGACTACAGAAGTTGTTAAAAATGCACAATTTCTTCATCACTGGCATTAGTGGTCGGTGCAAAAATTGGAATAAATGTTGTATTATTTTATCTTCCTTGTAAATCAATCACTAGCAATGCTGCATTTTAGGAAAGATCTACAGATGTTCTATTTTAATAAAAAGGAATAGAACATCATTCGTCTTCAATTTTTCACCTCTGTATCACTTACTCATTGTCACTGAGCGAAAATTGACACATAACTGACCCTCAGGGAATTTTTAGAGGCTATAAACCACATGGGAGAAGATTGGCCATCTTTCACTCACAGAGCCACTAGTGAATTAGAATTGCCTGAGAAGCACCACCTTTGAGTTAGCAACACAAATCCCTACTAATTATACTACCAAAGATCTTTCATTTCTATATTGTCATTGTTTGGTAACGTGAAGTTGGACTGACTCATAGTTGACCCTCCAGCAAGTTTTCAGAGGCAACCAGGAGGTGCCCCAGCCCCTTTCTCCCACAGAAAAACTGGTTGATTCAAACCATATGCCCTTGGGTTGACAACACAATTCCTTACCAGAAGACCATCAGAATTATCATTCCTGTATTAGTAGACCATATTGTTGTCTGAATCAAAACAGCCAAAAGCAATCTATTTTATCTCCCTAATGCCTGGGATACAGATCTTCAATTTCTATATTTAATTTCTGACAACCTCCTATTTTTGCAAAATACATACTTCGTACATGCCATGTTCTGACTATTAATGAACATTTATAATTGTTTCTTCTTATTTTTTAGTCTTGTTACAGCTGCAAGTGAAGGTTCTGAAAGCTTTACTTTATCCATGTCATTAAGATTGAGTCTACTTTGAGGAGGCAACACTACCCTAGTCTTACTCTGAGCACCTTTCAACCTGAAAAATTCATCTGTTGGTATAATGTCATTATTTATAAAGTTTCACCAATTAATTCTTTTAGAAGTAGATCACCAGAAAACAACTATGAGATATCATCTCACCCCAGTAAGAATAGCAAAATTTAACAGCAAAACATCAAATTCTGGTGAGGTTGCAGGGAAACTGGAACCCTTATTCACTCTTGGTGGGACTGTAAAATGGTGCAACCACTATAGATGGCTGTAGGGCACTTTCTCAAAAAGTTGGAAATAGAAATATCATTTGACCCAGCAGTTCCATTACTGGGAATATACCCTAAAGAAACCATAACCACTACCCAAGCAGATATATGCACATCAATGTTCATTGCAGCTTTGTTCACAATAGCAAAGAGTTGGAAACAATCCAAGTGCCCATCAACAAATGAATGGATAGAGAAGCTGTGGTATATTCACACAATGGAATACTATGCTGCAATGAAAACAAGGAACTCATGAAATACACAAAATGGGTGATCCTAGAGGACATTATGCTAAGTGAAATACCCCAGTCACAAAGGGGCAAATATTACATAATGCCACTGCTGTAAAACAGAACTAACATCGGGCTGAGGAAAGACTGAGAAAGAGGGGATAAATAATATATACTGCATTAAAACAGATGAGGGAAAAAACTGTTTAAAAGGGATATATGATTAGGTATTATTGTCATGACAAGAGTCCAGAATGAAGGCTGCGTAGTGGAGTGGATTTAGGGGGATGGATTGTATAACAATGAAAGAATTTTTCTTTTCATTTTCAAGGAAGGGGTGGGTAGGGAGAAAAGTGCAACAATGAATGAATGGAAATCCAAAGTCTCTGTAAACTTTCATTAAAATTAATTTTAAAAAAAGATAAGATGGAAAACAAGAAGTAGATCAACAGGTTCTTATTTCTAGTCTATCTTAGTCTGAAAACTCCACTAATACTTGTACATTATGAATGGTCCTACTGGTATTTAAAATATCAGTGGCACAGCTTCCAGCAACACAGTGACACACAAGTCAACACATATAAAAATCCAGAAGACTGTGTATCAATCAGTAAAAAGAGTGAAAGCAGCTTAGGGATGGACATATCTGACCTCTACTAACTCCACAAGGAGAAATTGCCCCAACAAATACATCCAAAGCACAAACTCAATTCCCATGAAGTCAGACATGTCCCCCACACTCCTGCACCTCTTTCTATTAATTCCAACAATTATCTAACTGCTCTACTGGGTCCAAAATGTGTTGCAATAGCTAAAAGAACACAGAGAACCAGACTCATTGATTATGAGGTTTACTAAGGAAGTTAAAAGGCTATATAATTCAGGTTGGTAGCAGAATACAATTATTCAATCAGGACAGCTGCCAAAATGTGCTCACAGACCCCTCAGTCTTCAGCTTCGTGGATTTACTGTATTGTTAAAAAAACTTAGTCCTGACAATTATAGTTCTCCCACAAGACCTCTAGCACACTTGGGTGAAGGCTCCTAGATCTGTTTTCTTGGGATAGCAGTCCTTAAGGACTCCTACTGTCTCATGTCAAGAGCTCTGTCTAATGTCAAGCTCAGCTCTGGTTCTCTGCTAGCAACTACTGCTACAGTTGCTCCTCCTGTAGGTCCCAATCTGAGTAGTGCAGAAATATTTAGTACTGAAGGATACACATTATGCATTCTCTGCTTCTTCTTTGCTGGTAAGAAGATTCCTAAATTCTGCTGCTGAATTTATTTAATAGGAAACTAGCCAATCCCCTTGTGGATAGACTAACACAGCTATTTGTATAATCCTGCCCATTGACATGGCACAGTCAAGGTCAATGGCTAGGAAAATTATTTTGACAATAAACCCTTGACACCACACAATCATGCTTCAATAAAGCTGCTAAAAATGAAAGAGAGAGAGAGAGGGAGGGAGGGAGGGAGGAAGGAAGGAAGGCAGGCAGGCAGGCAGGCAAACTGTCAATTAAGTCCCTGGATGATGAAAATAGCTTGTGCTCAAATACTACCCTAAAAGTTGGCAGTATTAATACAGCCAACAGTGCCAATAGAATAAAGGTCTGGTGGCCTACTTCCATAAAGATACAACCAAGAAAGTCTTTTGGAGCCACTTAATCTGAAAATATGGGGCACTACAATCCAGAATGAATACAAAGGTAATAAGTTGGTTTGGGGTTAAATCTTTATTAATTATAAATCAAAGGGAAGAAAATATTTTTAAATGTGAAAATTGATACCTATGGGGGCTAAGTTAGTTCTTCGTACTTTAAAAAATACCCAAATAAATCATAAACAACAGCCCTTGAACTTATTACCATCAAATAGGCATCGATTCATTGGGTTTCTGAGGCTATAATGGTTTGCTAATGGCAAAGCCTTTGTGTTGGCAGCTTAAAATATGCAATAGAGCTCATGTCTTTAATTACATAACAGAACTAAAAATTTATAAGACAGCATTCATCAACACTGAGGGCCATAGTGAAACAATGGTTAATACATACTGCTGAAAGGGCAAACTCTTGGGAGAAATACAACCAGAAAGCTCCTTACAGGCAAGGATGGTAAGACTTCATCCCTCATACTTGGAGTATGTTAATAGGAGAAACTAGTCCCCTGGAGAAGATCATTATATTTTCAACAATATATTTCATCATATATTGCCAACAAACAAAAAGGGAGACCTTCAATAAGATGACTTAGCACAGTGACTGCAACAACAGGTCCAAAGACGGCCACAATTGTGAGGATGGGACAGGATTTCATTCTGATGTACATAGAGTTGCTATGTGACAGAGCCAACTCACTGGCACTTGACAACAACAACAACACAGAAGACAGCACCATTTAGCCAAGGAAAGATCCCTGAGAAAGATTAATTATAGATGCAATTTTAAAGAACATGAGAGGTATAAAATAGTAGGAAGGTTGGGTAAATTATTCCAAATGAGAAAAAGACCTTACGTGGACATTTTAAAATATAAATTAATTAAAATAAAATGTTAAGAGGGCATATAAGTAAGCCAAGCTTGAAGTTCATTAAATGATTTTTTTTTTTAAATCCCTGGCAAATGTTGTCTTGGGAAATCCTGGTGAAAGTCCTTGGATTTATTTTTAAAAGAAATATTGGCTCCACTTAAGGAATTCCCCAGAGTAAAATCCTTTTCCCTCATTCCTCCATCATTTCCTCCTGAAACAGAGAAAATTAGTATACACCCCCCGGCTGCAAAGAAATGAATAGTAACTGCACTAGGTTGAATGTGAATTAGTATTTTTCTGCTAATCACTAAGAATGTGTTATGCCTAGTTTCCAGGGCACACTCTGGGGAAGTTAGCAGTACATCTGCATTGAGTGAAGGTCTTGGAGAAGACCCAAAGCTTCACATTCGGAAAAGTTCCAGGCACTCTGGGAGACTGTACAATCCAAACAGAGAGATAGAACTCAGAAAGCCAAGCTTGAAGTGGAGCCCAGAAAGGAATCTAGTAATGAGGGGATTGTGTGAGGAAAATGAGCATTTACAATGAATTCTCAGAATTCACAAGAATTCTCAGAATCAATATGTAGTCTACCTACTGAATGTTTGAAATATACCTTTTTACAGCACGCCTCCTTGTTCCATAGACTTAATAACACAATTCTGAACATGGACGCTAACAGGGAATAGTCCATAGAGTAGAACAATGCCTCTTCAGGGTAATAAATATCCCATACATATATATACACCAAACAGAGTGGAATACTATAAAAATAATGATTAAAGTGATTTCTAAGCAATAGATTTCACATTTCTGTTTCATAATAATAACATGGGATGTCATCATTATATTTCACTATACAGAGAAATGTAAAAGAAATCTATGCATTTTGACAAGTACATCTTAGAAACTTCATCTCTAAAATTGAGTCTGCTAAGTAACCAGGCTTCCTGAAACACTAAATAAGACTTGAAAATAAAAATACAGACCCAAGAGTGACACACCCAAGAGCAAGCAGGACAGCTAAAATCTGAGTGAGGTTCTCAGATGAAAAACCAAGGCTTCCTGGTTTTTCCAATTCAGGTACTTCATGGGAATCACTGCTATTTGGCTGGACCACGTGGGACCCCCTAAGCTCAAGCAGAAGGAAGTGGGACAGCTGGAACTGGAGTGAGATGGCAGAGACAGTTCTCAAAGGGAAAACCAAGGCTTCCTGGTTTTCCATTCAGGTACTTTGTGGGGATCACTGCTGTTTGCCTGGACAACACAGAACCCCTTAATGTCAAGCAACAGGGATCAAGACAGCTATAGCTCGAGCGAAATGGAAGGGCAAGAAGAAAAGAGAAACATACAAGTCCTTCAAAAAAAACCAGCCATAATCTACAACCAGGAGATGATAAAATAAATTCATGGGACCTTCTACGAATCAAATCATTATGCACATCCAAAAGCTCCTCCAATAGGGTAAAAAGGGAAGCAAGCCACTGACTGGGAAAAAGCATTTGATAATTACATGTCAGATAAAGGGCTTATATCTAGAATTTATAAAATACTTAAGCACCACAACAAGATAAAGGTAAACAATCCAATAGAAAAATGGGCACAGACTATGAACAGTCACTTCACCAAAGAAGACATTCAGAGGCCAACAAACACATGAAGAAATGTTCAAAGTCCTTAGCTCTAAGAGAGATGCAAATCAAAACAACTATGAGATATCATCTCACCCCAGTAGGAAGAGCAAAATTTAACAGAACAGCAAGCAACAAATGCTGGCAAGGTCGTGGAAAAACTGGAACCCTTATTCACTGTTGGTGGGAGTGTAAAATGGTGCAACCATTATGGAAGGCATTGTGGTGCTTTCTCAAAAAAATTGCAAATAGAGATACCATTTGACCTAGCAATTCCACTACTAGGAATATGCCCCAAAGAGACCATAACTGCCACCCAAGCAGATATATGCATGCCCATGTTTATTGCGGCTTTGTGCACAATCACAAAGAGTTAGAAACATCCCAAGTGCCCATCAACAAATGAATTGATAGAGAAGCTGTGGTATATTCACACAATGGAATACTATGCTGCATTGAAAAACAAGGAACTCATGAAATGTTATTCAAAATGGGTGA